GGCGGCGGGCGGCGGGCGGGCCCGGGTGGTTTCAGCACTCCCTGAGAACGCCGCCGTGGAGACGGAGCCCGTGGCGTACGGGTGTGCGTCGGAGACCGAAGACGAAGAGCACTGGGTGTCTTGTTGGAGGCGGATGCTGTGAGTAGTGAGGAGCTGTGTCGGAGGCGTAGGCTGCGGAGTACTGGGTGCTGCTTGGGAGACGGAGGCGTAGAGTACTGGGCGCAGTGTCGGAGACGGAGGGCGGGACAGGCGGGGTGGGCGGGATGGGCGGCGGGCGGGCGGGCTCGGGTTGTAAATGCAACTCCAAAGGAAGCCGCCCCGGAGCGGGAGGCTGTTAGGGGGCCACATGCGAACCCCACCCCTACCCCCCTGAAGAAATCGTGGGGGGTAGGGGTAAGGTTCGCGTGTGGCCCCCCTAGCTGTAGAGTGCTGGGGTTTCTGTTGGAGGCGGAGGCGGTGGAAACTGTGTGTGCGTTGGCGACGGAGGCCGTGGAGTAGTGGGGCGCGCATTGAAGATGGAGGCTGCGGAACACCGGGCGCTGTTACGAAAAAGTGGGTACGAGAGTGGGAGGCGGGGATCAGGATTGAAGGCAGTATTGAGGGAAGCGTGGAAGCTGCAGAGACGAGGGATAAGGGAGGGCGGGAGGAAGAGACGCAGGAGGAGCAGGCGGAAGAGGAATAAGAGGAGGAGCAGGCGGACGAGGAGGAGCAGGGCGAGGAATGAGGGAGACAGCAAGAGTGAAAACAATAACAATAACAATAATAATATGTTTCATTGTTTTCCGCCATAACGGTCGTCACCGGCCACGCACCCCCCTCAAGGTGACGTCACGTTCCGCGCCGGCGAGGTCCAGGAATGCCCAGGGATGACCGAGGCCAAGTAGGAGCAACATGTAGGTGGCGATCTGTGCCACAGCGCCTGTGCACACCGCAATGCTCGCGTTCACCACAGCGCGCGTGTACACCACAACGCCTGTGTACACCGCAACAGCCGTGTGCAACGCAGAGCTTGTTTACATCACAGTGATTGCGTGCACCACAGCGCCTGCGTGTACACCACAGCATCCGCGTGCAAGACAGCACCAATGTACACCACAAATGCTTGCGTGTACCGCAACGCCTGCGCACACCATGCCGCCCGTGTACACCACAGCATCCGCGTGCAACACAGCGATGGTGTACACCACGGCACCTGCCTGCTCATGACAGGTAGAAGGAGCATGTAGGTGAGGGCGCTGCGGACAGCTAAACACCACGCAAGGGGAAGCGCTGATCATAAAATGCAGTTTTCCTCCCTCCTCCCTCCTTGCCCTATTCCTCCTCCTCATCCTCCTCCCTCACCCTTCTCCCCGTCGTGCGGGTCGGCGCTGCAGTGCATGCGCGCGTTGTGCATTTCACGCTCTAAGCTGGTGGTGAAACGATCCCAGAAAAATGGTCGATTAAATCAGTCCACTTGGTTCTCGGACGTACAACTCTGCGGAAACCTTCTAGACGCAGATGGGAGGAAATAGAGTGATGCGGGAACACTCGGGAGGACTCGTAGATTCCAGAGGCGCTCCCTTTATCATCTGGATTCACTTCGACATCCTATATAACACAATTGGCTTCTGTAGAATCCACAGGCGATCAATTTTTTGCAGAAGAATCCTTTCTGACATTATATGTGCAACAATGGTGTATGTTGCACACTGTTGCTGTGGTGTACACAGGCGCTGCGGTGTGCAGAGGCGCTGTGGTGCACGCAGGCACTGTGGTGTATACTGGTGCTGTGTTGCAGACGGCTGTTGTGGTATACGCAGGCGCTATAGTGTACACCAACGCTGTGGTGCATGAAAGTACTGTGGTGCACACTGGCGCTGTGTTGCACGTGGCTGCTGTGGTGTAGATAGGCACTGTGGTGTACACAGGGGCTGTGGTGCACGCAGGAACGGTGGTTCACACAGGCGCTGTGGTGCAGATCGCAACCTACATGATGCTCCTACCCGTCCTCGGTCATCCCGAAGCATTCCCAAACGCCACCTGCGCGAAACGTGACGTCATCGGTCCCTCCCCCCCGGTGACGGCCGTCATCGCCTAAGAATAAAAACACAAACTTTACGAACAAAGAGGAAACGCTTCTGCCTTCACAGGTCTCTGCCGCAGCGGGCGTCTGCCAGAGCGGGCTTCTGTCGGAGCGGTTTCCGCCGAAGCGGTCTCTGCAGGAGCGGGTTTCTGCCCGAACGGGCTTCTGCCAAAGCGGTCTCTGCCGAAACGGGTTTCTGCCGGAACGATTCTGCCGGAGCTGGTTTCTGCCAGAGCGGAACGGTCTTAGCAGGGGCGGTTCTGCCGGAGCAGGATTCGGCTGCAGCGGTTTTCTCTCATCCCCGAGTTGCACTCCTCTTCTGAGCGGCCAAATGGTTTTCGAGTAGGGGATCGACCACAGACACCCCCAAAAATGATGTCCCGTCGAATCTGCAATGCGTAGTAAAATTCTCCGTAATTCTGCCGTAGCTTCGGCGGAAAATCAACGTCGGGGTACATTACTTCTAGCCGATCCCCTGCTCGAGTTTGAGGGGGGGGACTCATGGGTGCGTGAGATCGCCTGCGATGCACAAGAAAATGCTCCCGATTCGCGAACCAAAAAACGCCCGCGGCAAGTGGCCCGTGGCAATCCTGGCAAGTACAGTCGGAGCTCGACCACGAGAAGCCTCCCACAACGTCCAGGAGGAGGAGGAAGACGAGCAGAAGGAACCCCGAGACCCCAGGACGTCCTCTGACTTTCGGTGCGGGAGCGTCGCGCCTTCCGTGGCACAGGCATCGACACCCAGGGAACCCAGGGCCCCCCTGGAGGCAAGCAGGGCGTCTCTTGGCAGGGGCCTCCACTGGAAGGCCTCCTGCTCCGGCGCGGCAGCCTGCTCGAGACGCCAGGCCCCCGAGGAGAACCCAGCCCCGTCTCCTGCGGGGGCCGGCCGCCCAACCCCTGAGGCCGAATGTTTCGACGGCCCCGGAGCCGAGCCACGTCCTCCGCACCGCGACGACGACAGGAGGCCAACCGTTACCAGCCTGGAACATATCCCTATCCCTATGCTGGGCACCTCCTCATCACGAGGCCAATCTTAAGGATTCCCTTATCGTTTGAGGGCGAATCCCTAAGATTGTCATCGCCTCTTGGCGTGTCAATCTTAGGGATAGGGATACGTTCGAGGCTGGCCACCTGCGAACCCGACCCCACCACCCGACGAGTTCTGAGGGGAGAGGCGGCGGGGCTCCCTTCGCTGGACCTCCCGAGCGGCGTGGGCCCCACCTCCCCCCCTTTGTAGAGAGCGTGGGATGGCGGGGAGTCTGGACGCCCGAAATGGGTACGGCAGGCGGCAGCAGCAGCAGCAGCAGCAGCAGGGAGGACCAGCAGCAGCAGCAGGACTCCGCCCGCCCTCTCCGTGGCTGCTCCGGCGCTGATGAAGGAGGCTCGCTGGCGGCCGCTCCCTACCCACGCCCCCTGTAGAGAGCGTGGGATGGCTGGGAATCTGGTACAATGCCCAACGGCAGTTCTTGCGCTCACTTTGCACAGGACTCGCCGTCGGTGTCGCCGCGGCCTGTGTACATTTGCGACGGAAGGCCGCCTGCCCGACAGCGGCCGCGGATGGTTTGGGACAACATTTGTTGTTGGGCATTGTTAGGGGGCCACATGCGAACCCTACCCCTACCCCCCACGATTTCTGAGGGTGAGGGTGGGGTTCACTTTGCTCGGGAGCTCCCGAACGAAGTGGACCCCACCCTTCCCCTCAGAAATCGTGGGGGGTCGGGATAGGGTTCGCACGCGGCCCCCCGAATTGTGCCCCATTTCTCCGTACCCATGTCGGGCGTCCAAAGGGCAGGGCTCGCAAAAGGGCCTCTTCGGCGAAGAACGACCCGCCGCCACGACTTCCGCTGCGACGCCCGGACCTGCCGAGGGGCAGCGACAGGAGGAGGAGGAGGAGGAGGAGGAGGAGGAGGAGGAGGAGAGGAGGAGGGAGGAGGGGAGGGAGGAGGGAGGAGGGGAGGGAGGGAGGGAGGGAGGGGGGGGGGATGGGGAGGGAGGGAGGGAGGGTGGGAGGGAGGGAGGAGGGGGGGCGCCAGCTCGGGGGGACCGTCGACCCAGAATCTCGGCGACGCAACACTCGGACAGCTCGGCGCTGGGCCCCCGACGGCGCGTCCGCACGCCCCCTGGGCGGGTCGGGGCCATCTCGGGCCACGGTCGGCGATCAAGGGGGGGGCCACTTGGGGGTCGACCTGTCCCTCCCGCCCGGAGCCTCCCTCCTCCTCCTCCCCTCCTCCTCCTCCTCCTCCTCCTCCTCCTCCTCCTCCCTCCTCCCCCCTCCCCCCCCTCCCCCTCCCCCTCCCCCCCCCCCCCCCCCCCCCCCGGAGCCTCCCTCCTCTTGGGTCCTCGCCGTCGGCTTTCACATCATCACTCGGGTCTCCGGCGGCCGTGCGGGACGATCCGCGACCCCCCGGACACCTCTCGGCCAGGCGCAGCTGCTGGAGAGCACCCCGAGGCCAACAAATCGCCACGAACCGACGAACCTCACGTGGCCCCCGAGGTGGCGCTGAGGCCTCGTGGCAGAGCTCGAGCTGAAAAGTGTTGTCCGCTCTCGCCTCGCTATCCTTCTCCCCTGTTCCCTCTTCGCTCTGCCGCTGGGAAACCGCGCGGAACCGACGAAGGCGTCCGAGGAGCTAATCCCCCAGGAGAGCCCATAATCGAATCGATGAGTCGGATCGGCGATCGAAATGAATCGGATCGGCGAAAATCGGCAGCCGAGTCGGGAAAAGTCGGATCGGCGGAAATCGGCAGGCTACTATGCGTCCCATAAGAAGTCGGAATCCGAATCGGAATCCCAAGTCGAATCGAATCGGAATCGGAAGCCATCGAAATCGAATCGAATCGAATCGGAGGAGTCGAAATGAGCCCTGTAATCCCCCCCTAACGTGGCCCCTGAGGGTACGCGCGCGTCTCCGTCTCCGTCGCTGCTCCCCGGGAGCGAGGCCTCGAGGACCGCCTCCAGCAGCGCGTAGAACGCCCCGGCGACGCCCTGCCCCGTGAGCGCGGACGCCTCCACCTGCGGCTGGTGGGGGCGCAAGCTGACGGCATCGGGGCCCACGTGATGGGCATAGCCGACCTCGACGACGGAAACGAAATAGGCTGACTGACGCGCCAACGACGAAACACTTTCCACTCGCGGGACGCCCTGGGGAAGAATAGGAACGGAAAAACAAGGAGAAGGACGAGGATGAGTGACACAGAGAATACTCGATCGAATCCCATTGTCGGGGATGGACAGACCTCCCTTTAGTAAAACGTGGTTCAGTGAAAACGACCAGAGGCCCAAACCTGGCGGGCGCGAGCCTGGAAAACAACGGCCCCGGCGCCCTCCCGAGAACCGAAAAAGGACCATTCACTGATCGACGTGTCACTGTTGGGGGCTCTGTCCACCTTTCGGTTCTCGAGAGGGCGCCGTGGCCGTTATTTTCCAGGCTCGCGCCCGCCAGGTTTGGGCCTCAGGTCGTTTTCACTAAACCACGTTTTACTAAAGGGGGGTCTGTCCACCCCCGAAAGAAACATGTCCTGTGGGGAACGAGTCCTGGAACTTTGGGGCCTTCCCCACAGACCAGCTCTTCCTCCCGAGTCGCTTTGGCGACCAGTCCTGGAGCCCGTGGAAGGTCCTGTGGGGAACGAGTCCTGGAACTTGGGGCCTGCCCCCCAAACCAGCTCCTCCTCCCGAGTCGCTCTGGCGACCAGTCCCGGAGCCCGTGGAGGGCCCCAGAGGGAGCCGAAGACCGCAACACACATCAGGGCCCACTTGCCTCAGGGCCCGCTGCCTTCATTGCGAAACGTACAGTCGGGGCGTTGACCTAAGGAACCCTAAATAAGGAACGAGGCCCCTTTTTCCAAAAAAAGTAACCGTCGATTTCCCATCGAAAACCTAAGGAAAACCTGAGGCAAGCTGCGAAACACTTAAGGAACGCGGAGCCCCTCCCCAACCAAAAGGGTTCCTTCTTCAGGGCCCCGACTGTACCGCAAAAAACATCAAGTCCCACTTTCCTCAGGACCCGCTTCCTTCATTGTGAAAAGTAAGACGACGATTGAGACATGCCAGGGGGGGGCGATGCTTGTTCTGGGGAGCTTCCTGGTGCCACCTGCTCCACTCATGCGTCCAAGCTGCATGCTGCGTCGAACGTCCCTCGACTCAAACAGAATTAGACTCAAACGTGATTCGAGCTAGAACAGACCTAGAATCAACCTGCATTCGAACTAGACTCGAACCAATCCGCCATGTGGCACCGAAGAAAATCCCCAAAACGGACACCTGAGGGGGCCATCCTGCACCAACGCCCTGGCCGATGACTGATGCAGTAGGGGCTCGACCACAAAAACATGTACCACGAGAAACCCAGCCCTGAGACCCCAGGACGTCCATCGATATGTGGTGTGGGAACGTCACGCTTTCCAAAGCAAAAGCATCGAAACCCAAGAAACCCAGGGCACCCTGAAGGCAAGCAGGGTGTTCCTTGGCATGGGTCCCCACTGTACGTCGGGTTTGGGGTTTGCTCGTGGGCGGAGTTGCCATGAAGATGATTTGGCCATCCACCCCAAACATTCCCGCCGCGGCTGGAAACGATGCTTGACCGTTCCCCTGGCGTTTTTCTGGCACCTGCCTCCAACGATGCACAGGCAAGACAGCCCCGAATCGGATCGACAAGTCGGATCGGCGAGCACATATAATCGGACGGCGAACATCGGAAGCAGAGTCGGGAGGAGTCGAATCAACAAATTCCAGCAGGCTAGCAGGCCTCCATGAGATCGGACACCGCATCGGAACACGAAATCAAAACGGATCGGAAGCTGTCTGAATCGAACCGGGTCGAATCGGAGGAATCGCAATGAGACATGGTTCCCCCCCTGCTTTGGCTCCATCTGCGTCCCGCCATGAGGAGGGGTCGGCCACTCATTGAAAGGTCGCTCCTGGGAAGCCGTGGGAACGACCAGAGGACGAGAGAAGGAGGGGTCATGCAAAGAAGGGGAAACATGTCACAAACATAAGCAGCTGGCGCTCCGAAGGGAATTCTTGGATCTGCGCCGGACCCCCGTCGCTGGCGCGCGGAGCGCGCCAGGGGCGGCGCCGGGGAGGCCCAGAACAGATCCAAGCAATGCGCGCGGGCCGCCAAAAGTTTTATCTTCATGCCATGTCTTGTTCGTCGATCGGTGGTCCTCGCCGCCAGCGTGCGCAAGTCCGAGCGATGCCCAGGAGTAGGAGGAGGAGGAGGAGGAGGAGGAGGAGGAGGAGGCGGAGGAGGAGGAGGAGCAGGCGGAGGCGAGGAGGAGGGGAGGAGGAGGAGGAGGGGGGAGGGAGGGAGGAGGGAGAGAGGAGGAGGAGGAGGAGGAGGAGGAGGAGGAGGAGGAGGGTTGCGCAGCGCCCAGTGGACCGCGGCGGCGCAGGGCCCCCGCGCCCGCGCCAGCTCGAGCGCCTCGGCCGCGCGCTCCGCCGCGGGGCCCTCGCCACCGAGGTCGGCCTCTCCGCGGGGGGATCCACCGACCCTCCACGCCCGCCCCTCCTCCTCGCCCTCCTCTTTAACCTCCTCGGACTCCTCCTCGACATCCTCCTCCTCGACCTCCACCTCCTCCTCCTCTTCCCCCTCCTCCCTCCTCCTCCTCCCTCCTCCTCCTCCCCCTCCTCCTCCTCCTCCTCTCCTCCTCCTCCTCCTCCTCCTCCTCCTCTCCCTCCTATACTCCATTTCCTCAACTTCCTCCTTCTCCCCCCCCTCCTCCTCGATTTCCTCCTCCTCCTCCTCCTTCCCCTGCTCCACTTACTCCTGCTCCTGTTCCTCCTCCTCGTCTTCCTCCTCCTCCTCCTCCTCCTCATCCTCTTCCTCCTCCTCCTCCTCCATATCATCTCTTCTTCCTCCTCCTCCTCATCCTCCTCCTCTTCTTCTTCGTCTTGTTCCCAATCCTCTTTGGTTGGGTATTCGTTTTGAAGAAGGGACTGTGGTCTCCACCTTCCTTCCTCCCGCCTCCCTCCCTCCTCCTGCGTCCTGCGTCCTGCTTTATTCCCAACCCTCCTTGGTTGGGTATTCGTTTTGAATAGAGCACTGCTCGCGCGTCTCCTCCCGCCTCCCTCCTGCCTCCAGCCTGCCTCCTCCTGTCTTGCCTGCGGGGGGCTGCGATCTGTGAAACTGTCGCTACTTTCGAGGGCTGCTGGGGTGGCCAGCGGAGTGTCGCCCCACGAAGACTTATATTAGACCTCGCCATCCCTGGGTGGCTGTGATTTGCGAAACTGTCGCCGCTTTCGAGGGCTGCTGGGGGGTCCAGCGGAGTGACGTCTTACGCAGATTCAGATTAGACCTCGCCATCCCTGGAGGGCTTCAATCTGCGAAGCTGTCGCCACTTTCGAGGGCTGCTGGGGGGTCCATCGGAGTGACGTCTCACGCAGATTCAGATTAGACCTCGCCATCCCTGGGTGGCTGTGATTTGTGAAGCTGTCGCCGCTTTCGAGGGCTGCTGAGGGGTCCAGCGGAGTGACGTCTTACGCGGATTCAGATTAGACCTCGCCATCCCTGGAGGGTTGCGATCTGCGAAGCTGTCGCCACTTTCGAGGGCTGCTGGGTGGTCCAGCGGAGTGACGTCTTACGCAGATTCAGATTAGACCTCGCCATCCCTGGGGGGCTGCGATCTGCGAAACTGTCGCCACTTTCGAGGGCTGCTCGGGGGTCCAGCGGAGTGACGTCTTATGCAGATTCAGATTAGACCTCACCATCCCTGGGGGGCTGCGATCTGGGAAACTGTCGCCACTTTCGAGGGCTGCTGGGAGCTCCAGCACAGTGACCTCTTACGCAGATTCAGATTAACCTCGCCATCCCTGGGGGGCTGCGATCTGCGAAACTGTCGCCACTTTCGAGGGCTGCTGGGGGGTCCAGCGGAGTGAGGCACCGCGCAGATTTGAGGTGGACCTCGCCGTCCCTGGTGGGCTGCGATCTGTGAAACAGTCGCCATTTCGAGGGCTGCTGGCGGGTCCAGAGGAGTGAGGCACCACGCAGATTTGAGGTGGACCCCGCCATCCCTGGGGGGCTGCGAGCCTCACGAATGCCGCTCGCAGAATTATATGCGCCCATGTCACGTCATCACCTCTGTATAACGTCTCCCAGGCTACTCGTGCTCCGCATTGCGCAGGGTAATTTTTCTTCTTCCTCCTCCTCCTCCTCCTCCTCCTCCTCCTGCTCCTCCTCTTCCTCGTCCTCCTCCTCCTCCTTCTCCTCCTCTCTCTCCATATCCTCTTCCTCCTCCTCGTCCTCCTCCTCCTCCTCTTCCTCCTCTTCCTCCTCCTCCTCCTCCTTCCTCCTCCTCCTCCTTCTACACCTCTTCCACCTCCCACTCCTCCACCTCCTCCACCACCTCCTCATCCTCCTCCTCTCCCTCCCCTCCTCCTTTTCCTGCTCCTCCTCCTCCTCCTCCTCCTCCTCCTCCTCCTCCTTCTCCTCTTCCTCCTCCACCTCCTTCTCCTCCTTCCTTGTTCCTCTTGGCAGCGGCGCGGATTTGCCGCAAGCCGGTGCTCAGTGGTCGGGAGCCCGAGAGGGCGTCAGGGCTGAGATGATACTTTGGCGAACCTTGTCTTGCCTATGCCAGCCCTCATCCCCCTCCTCTGCAGCATTGCCCTCCTCCGTTCAGCCTCCTCCATCTCTTCACCATCCTCATATCATCATCAGTCATCCTCGTCCTTCTGATCATAACCATTATCCATCATCAATGGTGGATGGATGTTTTTTCTGCATGTGCAGTCGCAGCCATGTCAGTTGAATTCCACAACAAGTAGTTGAGCTCGAAGCTCAGCTGGCGAGAGCCATATAGTAGCTGGCAGACACCTCCGCCGCCCCCAAAAAACGGGGCGGTTCCCCCGGAGGTGGCCGACTGCCCGAGACGGCGGGACCCCCCCGGGGGGAAGGGCCTGCCAGCGGGGGGCCTATAGGTTCTCCGCTACACGGGGCCTGTAGCCGCCCCCATCCCCCTTTCTCCTCCTCCTCCACCTCCTCCTCCTCCTCCACCTCCTCCTCCTCTTCCTCCTCCTTTCCTCCTGCTCCTCGATCTCCTCGCCTTCTTCTTCGTCGTCCTCCTCCTCGACCTCCTCCTCGACATCCTCAAGTTCCTCCTCCTCCTCCTCGACCTCCTTCTCCTCCTCCTCCTCCTCCTCCTCCTCCTCCTTCTCCTCCTCCTCCTTCTCCACCGCCTCCTCCTTCTCCACCTCCTCCTCCTCATCCTCCTCCTCCTCGTCTCCGTAACTATTTTGGCTCAAGCCATTTTCGCTCAAGTAACCCATCTCTCGAAGTGGCTTATAGAAAGCTTTTGCCCCCCCCTCGGGCTACCCTTCCACGGACCACTCGCTTCACTGCGGGTGGCAACTTACATCGCGTTTCCACTGTGGCTAGCGTGTGCCCTTCTTTCGCGTGCAGTATGGCTCCCCAGCGGAGAGCCGCCCAGGCCGAGCCCTGGTACTGCAAGTGGTGCACGCAGAAGCCCAATGGCACGCCATGGGTCAATCGCGCGGATAAGAAGTCTTGCAGCGTGTGTGGGCTCCCCAAAGGGTCAGCGTTCAAAAGGTTGCCGCCGCCAAAAGCTCCCGTCAAGCGTGCTGGCGCCTTCGTTTCAGCTCGAGAGGTGGCCCTCGCGAAGCAAGTCGCCGACTTGCAGCAGCAGATGGCCAAGTTGGGCGTGTCGCCACCTGCTGGCCCAGCAGCGCCGTCTCTTTGGCACAAGAACGATGATGCGCCCAATCCTAAGCGCACTCGGGTGGCTTAGCTGGGGCGCATCATCGCTGGGCGACTCCGACCAGTCAGTTCGTGACCAGTGTCAGTGTGTTGCCGAGAAGAAATGAACATAAAAACTCGGAGGTCCGCGCGGATTTCTCGGATCGGCGCAAGACCCCCCCTCCCTGGCGCGCGGAGCGCGCCAGGGGCGGCGCCGGAGGCGCCGCTGGGGGGCCCCGACGTTCGTTCCCCTAACGTTTAACAATTCCCCCCCTGTAGAGGGTCAGGCCCGACTTAAGCCTTCATCCTTCCCCCTGGGAGCCGGGGGCGGTCTCTGGCCATTTTGGGATATTTTTGCATATTTTCTATTTTTTTCGTCGACAATCCCCCCGTGGGGGGACACGCCCGACTTAACCGTAGAGGGACAGGCCCGACTTAAGCCTGCATCCCTCCCCCAGGGAGCCGGGGGCGGCCTCGGCCCGCGGCCCCCATCCCTCTTCAAAGGGGCCAAAATGGGGGCTCAGATCCGCCGACCATTTTGGGATATTTTTGCATATTTTCTATTTTTTCGTCGAACATCCCCCCGTGGGGGGACACGCCCAATTAACTTAACCGTAGAGGGACAGGCCCGACTTAAGCCTGCATCCCTCCCCCAGGGAGCCGGGGGCGGCCTCGGCCCGCGGCCCCCCTCCCTCTTCAAAGGGGCCAAAATGGGGGCTCAGATCCGCCGACCATTTGGCGCGTGTGGGACGCTTCTCCGTTTGAGCCGTCGTCGTCGTCGCCTTCGTCGTCGTGATCGTCGTCGTCGTGGTCGTCGTCGTCGTCGTGGTGGTCGTCGCCGTCGTCGTCGCCGTCGTCGTCGTCGTCGTTGTCCTCGTCGTCTTCCTCGTCGTCTCGTCGTCGTCGTCGTCCTCGTCAGTTCCAAGGAAATTTGAGGAGGAAGAAGGAAAAGAACGTCGCAATTCAGTCGATTCCCGTCACTCTTTCCCTGGGGGGGGAGGCCAGTTGATTGAAGAGGGACCGACCGTCCCGGCATTCCTATAGTCATACCACGAAATGTTCCTAGAACCCAAAAATGTTCTAAGAACAATGTTCTTAGAACATAAACCCGATGTGATAACACAAGACAGACTCCGCCAGAAATGTTCTAAGAACATTTCGTGGAAACCACAACAGGTTCTTAGAACATTGTTTGGTAGGGCTATAGGCGAGCCAGGACGCTTCGCCACTGCTTGAGTGGAGGGAGGGGCTGGTGGGGAGGGGTGTCCCGGGTCAGAATACCGCCCCTCGGGATCCCGGCAGGCCTTGCAAGGGGGGGGTCGCTAGCGGGGGCTCCCAAGGGGGGAGGTCCCGCCTTCGGGGTCGGCGGCACCGGCCGCAAAGCCTTCGCAGTGCGCTGCTCCGAATTCGCAGATTTTCCAAACAGACTCCATGCAGTAGGACTTGCTTGGCCAGGACACGCGAGATGGCTCAAGGCCCTTCCGAGGGCGACATTCTCATAGGAATGTAGGAGGCATGAGTCGCGAGACACAGGACACAGGGGTATTCTTGATTTGGCAGGGTCGACCTACTAATCAGGGCCGACTGTGTTTCCAGGATTATCCTTCTTCTGCTCCAGTTCCAAGATTTTCAAACGTCTCCACGAAAATCGGCGTTTGTTGTGGAAGTTGTCTCTCCAGGTCTCGTCTTTCCCTTCTGTTCCAAGATTTTCGCACGTCTCCACGAACCTCGCGCTTTTGTTCTGCACTTCGTCCCTGGAGGCCTCCTAGATGGGGTCGGAGTAGATGGGGTCCGAAGATCGCACCGCATCGCCAATACGTCGGCGATGCATTGGCGATGCCTCGGTGATGCAAATGCGATGCACCATCGACGTCGGCGATGCATGGGCGACGTCGGCGTGGAGAAAATCGGACTCCACATCGAGCTGCATCGGCGATGCATCGGCGATGCGGCGCGATCCTCCCACCCCATCTAGGAAAAATCAAAAGTCAAAACTACCGATGCCGCAACTCCCCGGACCTCTCCCGGAGGTCCAAAAAAAGGAAAACGGGCGAAGGGTAGAGATATGGGTGCGTCTTCCTCACCTGATTCCCTCTCCGACCCCATCTACCAGCTACCAGCTTGGCAACTCGGGGGCGGCCAAGAGAGGGGCGTCCAAGAGAGGGGGGGGGCGCAAACCATGGCCGGCGGCATGTGCGCGGCCTGGGGGGGGGGAGGGCGGGACACGTATTGAAATAAGAAGAGGTGCCATGAAATTTTGGGGAACATCATTGCCCACGCCACGACTTCCACCCCCGTTCGTCAACACCCCCCTCTTGGCCGCCCCCGACATCGACCAGCTTGGCAACGCACCCGCGCGCCTTGGTGCCGCAGAGGACGGCGGCCGGGCCTGGGGGCCTCGCGGCGAGGCCCGCCGGATCCGCCCGGTCGTGCGCCAGGTGCCAGTCCTGCGGCCCCGGGGCCGGACTTCGGAGGCGAGCGAGGGGGGGGACGACGAGGAGGAGGAGGAGGAGGAGGAGGAGGAGGAGGAGGAGGAGGAGGAGGAGGAGGATTTCCTCGAGGGCCTCTGGGCAGAACATCACCACGCGGCCTCAGGCCGATCCTGCTACATGAGATGCCTCCTCTCTCTGCCTAATCCTCTCCGCCAGGGCCGACATTCCAGGTGTCGAAATCAAGCCCGAGCGAGAGGAGGAGGAGGAGGAGGACGGGCCAGGGTCAGCTGCCTTGAGCAGGACATACTTGGCCGAGGCACGACATGTGGTGCCATCACTTGCAGCGACAGTGCCCCGATTCCTGTAATGGGGCGGGAGACCTCGGCGGATGCGTGACAAGGCACCTCGCCCACTAGGGCCAGGAGGTCCGCACATCCCGCCAAAGAGATAGCACCGCTTGCTGGTGAAGGCACCGCAGCGGAAACAGAACACCGTGGGGGCACACTCGTCATCCTGCTCAAAAGGCGTGCACAGGAGGTGGCCACGCTCGCTCTCGGCGCCCTGCAACTTACGGAGCGCCGTGGGGAGACCTTTGCACCCATCCATGGGTCTGGCGTCTCCGATGGCCGTCTTGAAACATGTCGAGCACCTGGCGAGCGAAGGGGTTTCCTCGTCCCCAGGGTCCAGAACGAGCCAGTCGTGCCACTCGATGGCACGGAGGGTCCGAGCTTTCACCCTAGGGACCGTGGGGTCCCGTTGAAACTGGAGTTTCGGAAAAAGCGACAAAACTGCACCGAACATGGCCACCAGCTTCCGCAGGAGGGCCACATCCTTGTCTAATTGCTCCAGCTCCTCGCCTGGCCGCGAGGGGTGCAGAGACAAAGCGTGCTTAGCCAGACGGTCCGCATCCTGGTTCCCAAGAGCGATTTTGCGTTCCTGGGCAGGAAGCGCGGCTATCACCTCGTCCGACCTGTGCGCTGGCGTGTGAGCAAAGGAAGCAATGCAGCGCTGGCCTGAGGAGGAGGAGGAGGAGGAGGAGGAGGAGGAGGAGGAGGAGGAGGAGGAGGAGGAGGAGGAGGAGGGGGGGAGGTAAGAAGGAGAAGGCGTCCTCAGAGGCTGCAAGTGTGGATGCCATGACGATGGACACCCTAACAATCCTACCATTGGATGGACCATGTTTAAAATGTCGGGAAATTAAACATGCACTTTAGATGCTTGGGACATGCTTCAATTTTTTTATAAGTCGGGGAATGATTTGGCAACATGCTTCCTCTCCATCTACACCACAAGAATCCTTCCGACCCCAAGACGCCCACGGATTTTGGGTGTGGGAGCGTCGCGCCCTCCCCACAGCAGAAGCATCGAAACCCAAGAAGCCCGGGGCACCCTCGAGGCAAGCAGGGTGCCTCTTGGCATGGGCTTCCAGTACGTGTTGCATCCTCGGGGGACCCTGCCTGTCCCGCCGCGGCCCTGTCCGCGCCGAATCCGTGCCGAATCTGACTACCTACCAGACCACCCCAACCCAACCCGAAGACCCGAATTTCGGGTTGGGGGGGGTAAGGGTTCCACACGTGTTTTTTCTATGTTTCCCGACCCCCCCCACTGGAAATCGAGGGTAAATCTGAGCCTTCGGGTTGGGTTGGGGTGGTTTGGTGGGTGGTGAGAATCCACGTCGGACTCGTCGGATCCGCGTCGACACCGTGCCGCACTCCGCGTCGACGCCACGCCCAAAAATCCCGCGCCGAGCCCGCGCCGGGCCAGCGTCGGGCACGAGGACAGACACCGAGCCTGGGGACGGGCGAGGCCCCCCCGAGGATGCCACGTAACCGAAGGCGGCTCCATACTCCAGAGTTCGTAATAAAAGGGAGGGGGTCTGGACCCTCCAAGACAAGCCATTTCAGACCCCCCCCGTGGGAGAACCCTCCAAAACACCGTCCCCAGACCACCCCAGGCCCTCCAAGAAAGCCTGGAAGAGACCCCCCCGAAATGAGACCCCCCTCCCTTTATTACAAAATCTGGAGTACTATTGTTTTAATTCAGTCGGGGCGTTGCCCTAAGGAACCCTAAGTAAGAAACGAGGCCCCTGTTTTCCATAAGTTAACCTTCGATTTCCTATCGAAAAACATAAGGAAAACCTGGGGACGGGCGAGCCTGGGGACGGGCGAGGCCCCCCCGAAAATGCCACGTAACCGAAGGCGGCTCCATATTACCGTCGGGGCGTTGCCCTAAGGAACCCTAAGTAAGGAACGAGGTCCCTTTCGGGGATGGACAGACCCCCCCTTTAGTAAAACGTGGTTTAGTGAAAACGACTTCGGGCCCAAACTTGGCGGGCGCAAGCCTGGAAAATAACGGCCACGGCGCCCTCTCGATAACCGAAAACGGACAATTCACTAATCGACGTGTCACAGTTGGGGGTTCTGTCCACCCCCGACCCTTTTTTCCATAAGTTAACCTTCGATTCCCGATCGAAAAGCATGAGGAAAACCTGGGGCAAGCTGTGACACACTTAAGGAACGCGGAGCCCCTCCCCAACCAAAAGGGTTCCTTCTTCAGGGCCCCGACTGTATTTTTTGACTATGTTTGAATGTGGCTTCTGTAGGGGGGGGACAGGCCCGACTCCAGAGGAAGTCCATGATGCGAGTTCCAGTCGCCGAACTTCTCGCACCGTGCCACGCGCTCTGCGGCTACTGCCGCGCCCGCGCGCCGCCCCTGTTGCAAAGGGCAGCTGCTCCTGCCAAGGGCCACGGCGCGCAGCGCGCGGTCACCTTCGCGCCCCCGCGGGGAACCCCCTTCGGACGCCCGCAACGGGTCATGTTTTTCCAGATCAACAGCGGCCGCTGTTGGGCAGGCGGCCTCCTGTCTCGAGTGGACACAGGCCGCGGCGGCGCGGACAGCGAGTCCTGTTCAAAATGAACAGGAACTGAGCCTGTTTTTTTTGGAGTCAGGCAAGTTTACTTGCATGGCGTTCGCCCCCCCCCCCCCCCCCCCCCGCCCCTCTTCAAGCGAATACTAGCGTGCAAGTGCCTTTCGACTTGCGTGATTTCCGCGCCCCCCACCCCCCAGGCTTGCTTCAGGCTCAGCCCCCCCCCCCCCCGTCCATGCAAGTAAACTTGCCAGAATCTAACAAAAAAATCCCCACCACGTCCCATATTTTCCCAACTTTTCTGGGGAGTCGACGATGACTTGTGTCTGTGTGTTTCTTTCCCTCCTGACCATGTCTCTCCCCCCAACGAAGTTCACGCGACAGCCCAGGGAAGCGACCGCGAGCCACCGCCTGCGCAGCCCCCGCGAGCACACGGGCAAGTGCTCGAGATGATACGGTCTGGGCCGGCGGAGTGAGCGAGGCGATTCCATCGTGTATTGTGCGAGCGGCTCAGGAGGCTCTCTGGGAGTGGCGGAGCTTCTAGCGGCCCTCGGCCACCCGTACTCTGCCATGTGCCTTTGGCCGCCCGGGACGACAACAAGCACCTGCAACTCGAGGAACGAAGTGTCATCATTACTTCGGGAGCGGCCAAGAGGGGGGTGTCCAAGAGGGGGGGGGGTGCAAATCATGACCGGCGGCATGTGCGCGGCCCAGCGGGGGGGCCAGGGACGTAGTGAAATAAGAAGAGGCCCCATGGAATCTGGGAAGTATCATGGCCCACGCCAAGATATCCCCCCCCCCCAGTCATCACCCCCCCTCTTTGCCGCCCCCAATTACTTCGCGCTCCTCTCAGGTACGGCGCAGCAGGGCACGCCGAAGGCGGGCCTCGACGAGGCTTCGGGCGCCACGCCCCCGAGCCCGGGCGTCGCAGGAACACATGCGCCTGCTGTGTCTGTGTTTCCACTTTCTAGCATCTGGATGCCGCTTCCCGGCCCCAGGGTCGGGGGCGTCCAAGAGGGGGGCGTCCAAGAGGGGGGGGAGGAAATTATGGCCGGCGGCCTGGGGGGGGGGGGCCGGGGCACGCATTGAAATAAGACGAGGCGCCATGAAATCTGGGGAGATCTCATGGCCCCCGCCATGATAGCCACCCCCCCTAGTGATCATCCCCCTCGTGGCCGCCCCCGACAGGGCCGTCCAGAAACGACTTGGGATGAAAGGCCGGCCCCGAAGAGGATCGAGATGATCCCCAGGGGTCGGCACCAAGGAAGAGAAGGCGACGCCGCAGGAAGAGACCTCCCAACCTCTGGGGGCCCGCTTCGGACCCCTGGGCCTTCATGAATCGATCCGGGACCAAGGCAGCTCGGCAGGGTGGACTCTGGGAGGGGACAGGGGAGGAGGAGGAGGAGGAGGAGGAGGAGAGAGGAGGAGGAGGAGGGAGGGAGGAGGAGGAGGAGGAGGAGGAGGAGGAGGAGGGAGGAGGAGGAGGAGAGGAGGAGAGGAGGGGAGGAGGGGAGGAGGAGGAGGAGGAGGAACGGAGGAGGAGGAGGAGGAGTAGGAGGAGGAGGAGGAGGAGGAGGAGGGAGGAGGAGGAGGGGGAGGAGAAGGCATGTGAAGCGTTGAGGTGGGGGAGAAACACAAATAGGCTGGCTTGCATCGGATTCGGTCGGGACGCAGACTGCCGAACTTTCCACTGTGCTGCCGCGCCGCCTGGCCAGGGGCCGTCCTGGGTCTTCGCACGGCTTGCGTGCGCCACTCCCAGGGCCCAAGCCTTGCCCGCCCTGTGGAGCACCATGTGCCAGCCGTGCCCCCCGTGGCGTTGTGACAGTTGCGAGGGGGACGGCGCACCACTGCTCGAGGCTCATGTGCCAACGAGAAGGGACGGGGCAGGATATGCAAAGACAGAGAGTAAGAGGGAGGGAGGGAGGGAGAGAGTAAGAAGGGGTCCAGGAGACCTGGGAGAAGTCATGTTTCTAGCCATGCTGACCACGCCCCTTGCACGCCACGCATGCTTTTACCCATCCATCCAGTGGTGTGGGGTCCTCGTTTTGAAGAGACACCGCTCCGAGTCTCCTTCCTTTCCTCCAGCTGCACTCCCTCTTCCCACACCCCTCACACGCTTCATGGCGCCATAGGGAGCTCCACCTAAGGCCTAAATGGCCATGTTCGCATGTGGCCGCCCCCCACCCGATTCGGCGCGCCCCTCACGCGCTTCGTGGGCTCATATGGAGCTCCACATTAAGACCCAAGTGGCCATGCTCGCATGTGGCCGCCCCACCGATCCGAGCACACCCCTCACACGCTTCGTGGCCCCGCAGGGAGCAGCACTTAAAGCCCCAGTGGCCATGTTCGCATGTGGCCGCCCCGCCCATTTCGGCACACCCCTCAAACGATTCATGGCCCCATGCGGAGCCCCACCTGAGGACCCAATGGCCATGCTCGCAGGTGGCCGGCCCACCCATTTCGGCACACCCGTCACGCAATTCGTCCCCCGCACGAGGGAGCTCCACCTGAGGCCCCAGTGGCCATGTTCGCATGTGGTCGCCCCACCCAGTTTTCGGCACACCCTTCACACGTTGCATGGCACCATAGGGAGCTCCACCTAAGGCCCTAATGGTCATGTTCGCATGCCTCACCCGTTTCGGCACACACACACACACACATCACGCGGTTCGTGCCCCCATGAGGGAGCTCAACCTAAGGCCCCAATGGCCATGTGCGCATGTGGCCGCCCCGCCCACTTCGGCACACCCCTCAAACGTTTCATGGCCCCATGCGGAGCTCCACCTGAGGACCCAAAGGCCATGCTCGCAGGTGGCCGTCCCACCCATTTCGGCACACCCGTCACGCGGTTGGGGCCTCCATGAGGGAGCTCAACCTGAGACCCCAATGGACATGTTCGCATGTGTCCGCCCCATCCATTCTTCGGTACACCCTTGACACCTCTCAGGGCTTCACCTAAGGACCTAGTAGGCCATATTCGCAGGTGGCCGGCCCACCCATTTCAGCACACCCATCACGCGGTTCGTGCCCCCCTTGAGGGGGTCTCCACCTGAGGCCCCCATGGCCATGTTCGCATGTGACCGCCCCACCCGTTTCGGCACGCCCCTCACGCGCTTCGTGGCCCCATAGGCGAAGGCCCCAATGGCGTCGTTAGCATGTGGGAGTCACGTCTTTTTTGGCACGCTCCTCACACTTTTCGTGGCCCCACGGGGGGTTCCACCGTAGGCCCCAGTGGCCATGTTCGCATGTGGGCGTCACGTTCGTTTCGGCACCCCTCACACGTTTCGTGGCCCCACAGGGAGATCCACTCAAAGCCCCAGTGGCGACATTCGCATGCAGGCCCCGCCCTATTTCGGCAACCTACTCAAGCCCCGGTGGCAGTGCCCACATGGCGGCATCGCCACCTTTCGGCACACCCTTCGCACGTTCGTGGCCCCACAGGAGATCCACCTAAAGCGATACCCACAACGACGGCACTCACAACTGCACATGGTTGGGTCCTTCGCCAGGATGGTCCCACCAGCCCTCTGGGCGTAGGTGGTTTCACGAGTGCGGTCTTCTCTCTGCCAATATCCCTCCTTCCCCTGCTCGGGAGAGGGGTGTATCATTGTTCCCTATTAATATACACCCCCGCCCCCAGGCGACTGGCAGCCAACCAGGAACAATGCCGACTCTATGCTCACCCCCCCCCAACCATCCCTGTCAAAAAACAATCCAAAATACACTCTGCCTCCCAAATCGGAGCATGCGCAACCAACACGATGCCCCCCCCCAACCATGTCAAAAAAAGTGCAAAGCAAAAGCTCACTTTGGGGCAACGTCTTGAGTAATGTTCTTGAGGCCCGCGAACACTTTGTATTGTTTTTCGAAAGGAACGGCGGGGGTGTCAACATATTGCCTGCTGTGCGCAGGGCCACCATCCGGTCAAACAACAATACACAATGCACCTCGCGGCTAAATCTGGATCATGCGCGGCCACTCCACGATCACTGCCAAGTGGTTTATGACAGGGTCGGCGGGGGTGGTGGCACATGGCCTGCTGTGCGCAGGCCCACCAAACACAATGATGGGCAGTGGTTTTCGATCAGGATGGTGAGGGCCGACATGTTTTCCGATGTGTGCTGTCACGTGCGCAGGCGCACCTGACACACTCTGCACGTGCCCCGAACGTGGCGCACCTGGCGCGGCTGGAATATGCGACACACCTGACGCACGTGGAGCACGTGGCGCATGTGGCGCATGTGGCGCACCATGCGTGCCTGGCACTCGGTTGCCTCAGCTATTTCCGGACGGCACCTGCGCGATTCGTTGGGGGGCGGAAAGATACGGATACGTGTTGTCCCCGGACCTCTCTTGGGGTGCGTTCTGACCAGAATTTCGAGGCGAATCCAGCGGTGACAACGAGGATTCCCCAGGAGGACCAGGAAAGGCCGAAAACGACGGGGGACAACACGTATCCGTATCTTTTTCTCCCCCGAATTCGAGGCCGGTACCAATAACAGGCGTCAACGCGACTGGCTTCAAGGCGGAATCCAAAATGGATCCCAAAGAGGACCCTCGACCCCTTCCCAAGAGGCCGCTTTCTCATCCCCACGGGTCGCTTTTCACGGAGGCCCGTGGGTCTGGGCCGGGCCTGCTCGGGAACAGGACATCCCCCCGCACACGCCACTCCTGGAGTGAGCTTTTAGGGGGAACACAAACCTACCTCGCTTTTGACCACCCTCGCTTCCAAGAGATACCAAACGATGCCAAATTGCAGCCTGTACTGGTCAGGCCGCTTGACGAGGAGGCGCGTGGTATGGCTTGGTTTTGCCTGGAAGCGAAAGCGGGGTAGGTAATTCACGCTCTGAGCTTTGGCCAGACGTGCGCGGGGGAATCCAGCCGTGGCGGCGAGGCGCCTCCCCGAGGGCCGAAGAAGTGCGAAAAAGGCTCCATCACCTCGAACCTGGCAGCTCGGACAGTGCAGGCGGTGTTTGTTTGTTTTGTTTGCAGGCGCTTCGCTGCTTGGCCTACACACGTGCTGTGCGCAAATCACTGCTCGGACCTACAAGCGCTCAAGCCTGCATGCTGCTAAAACGTGAACCATCCGCACTCACCACCACTCGGATGGAACTTCATGGCAAGAGAAAGGGGCATGAAGCATGAAGGGGGCATGAAGCTCGGACAGTCCAGGCGGTGGTTGAGCAGCGCGTGCGTGGCGCGGCTGAGCCCGATGGGGTCGCCCAGCTCGTGGCACGCGAGCAGGCCGTGCGGCCGCATCGCCCCGCGCCCGCGCTGCCGGTCCTGGAGCTTGCCGCCTCGGCGCGGGGAAGGGGTACAGTCGGGGCCTTGACCTAAGGAACCCAAAATAAGGAACGAGGCCCCTTTTTCCCATAATTCAAACTTCGATGTCCGATCGAAAACATAAGGAAAACCTGAGGCAAGCTGCGAAACACTTAAGGAACGCGGAGCCCCTCCCCAACGAAAAGGGTTCCTTCTTCAGCGCCCAGACTGTACGCTATGAGGCAACTACTGGGAGGTCTTCGTCGGAGGGGTCGAGGGGGAATCCCACCAGCCCTTGGGGCGTGAGTGGTTTAGAGAGCCCGCTCTGTCCTCAACCCCCCTTCTTCCCCTTCGGGGAGGGGTTTACCCCTCCCCCTACCCCCTCCCCCTGGGCCTGGAGAGGGACCCCGCGGGTGGTCAGAGGGGTCTTTTTCGACTCCTGGGAGGGCTAAAAAACGACGACCCTCACGAGGATTCTGGCCCCGACGGGGGGACCGAGTTTGGCCCCTCTCCTCTTCTGTGAAGCCAAAAACATTGATTGTACGACGGTTTCGGCCCCATTTTGGCCTTCTGAGGGGGCCGCGCTCATCTCCCTTCATGGCAACATCATTGATTTTACGAAGGTTTTGGGCTCATTTTGTCCTTCTCAGGGGGCAGCGCTCATTTGCGCTTCTGAGGAGGTCGCAAGATGCCCCAAGATGGCCCCAAGAGGCCCCCAGGAGGCTCCCAAGAGGCCTCCAAGAGGCCCCCAAGAGGCCCCCAAGAGGCCCCAAGAGGCCCCCAAGAGGCCCCCAAGAGGCCCCCAAGAGGCCCCAAGAGGCCCCAAGAGGCCCCCAAGAGGCCCCCAAGAGGCCCCCAAGAGGCCCCCAAGAGGCCCAAGAGGCTCCAAGAGGCCCCCAAGAGGCCCCACGAGGAGCCCGAACGACTCACACCAGGACGAGGGGCCCGAACGACTCACACCACGAAGAGCCCGAACGACTCACACCACAAGGAGGGGCCCGAACGACTCACACCAGGACGAGGCGCCCGAACGACTCACACCACGAGGAGCCCGAACGACTCACACCACGACGCGGGCCCCGAACGACTCACACCACGAGGAGCCCGAACGAGTCACACCAGGAGGAGGGGCCCGAACGACTCACACCAGGATGAGGGGCCCGAACAACTCACACCACGAGAAGCCCGAACGACTCACACCAGGACGAAGAGCCCGAACGACTCACACCACGAAGAGCCCGAACGACTCACACCAGGAAGAAGGGCCCGAACGACTCACACCAGGACGAGAAACCCCAAACGACTCAAATCACGAGGAGCGCTTTCTCTCCCTCCTCCTCCGCCTCGTCCTTCTCCCGCTCCCCCCACAAGGAGGATGTACAAGGAGGCGGGAGGAAGGAGGAACAGGGGAGATATGCGGGGCCAAGCGGACACACGCCTGAAAAACACGACTGTCGGCATGCTTCGCAAGAGTTGCTGCTGTGAGATGGGCTGGTGGGGATACGCGAAGCGTAAAGAATTGCCTCCCCTAAGGATTTGGTTCCTCATCCTGAGTTGTGTGTTCTGGCGCTGCTCGGGGCACTGGTGAGGGACCCCGGGTGCAGAAAGCTGTTGAACATCCCGCGTTGCGACTCCTTCGCGACGCGATGGGGTCTGGGCTTCGGGGTGACCCTCAGGCCCATCCTAGATCCTGGGGTGCGCTTTGGCTGCTACAGTAGGAGCTCGTTCGCAAGAAACCCAACCATTGGATCCCAGGGCGTCCACTGATTTTTGGTGTGGGAGCGTCACGCTCTCCATAACAAAACCATCGAAACCCGAGACACCTAGGGCATCCTGCGTGGTGATGAGAAGCCCACGGGAGGAGGCACGCGCGTCAGCATGGGGGGCCTGCAGAACGAAGCACGAAGCCCCGCCAGCAGGGAGAAGGGGCCCACCCTGCAGGTCCGGTGACACAGCACATCGCTGGACGGTGCTGCAGCCTCCCCTGAGCAGACTCCCCCACAGCATCAGCCAGACGAGTCGGTTTTGCACGAGAAGGAGGAGGAGGAGGAGGAGGAGGAGGAGGAGGAGGAGGAGGAGGAGGGGAAGGAGGAGGAGGAGGAGGAGGAGGAGGAGGTTTCTTCATGGCGAGCCACCCATCTCCCACAGCTCCACCACGAGGCCCTCTGGCGGCAGCAGGGCCGCCAGCCGCTCCGGCAGGCCCGCCTGCAGCGGGTCCAGCGAGACGCTCGGGGCCGTCCGGTCCACCCCGACGGTGCGCCCGGGCTCCGGGTGGAACGCGCCGTCGGTGAAGAGTGGAGGGCGGCAGCTGTGCACTCGGGGATGGGAGGGCCTCGGGCCCCGGGCTGCGCACCTTTTGGCGTCGGCGGCTAGGCAGAGACACTGCGCTGGCGATAGGGCGTTGGTGTGTGTGTGTGAGTGTGTGTGCACGAAGCGCGAATCCGGCCACCGATGCAGGAGGGGAGGGAGGAG